AATTGCTCTTTCTTTCAGCACATTAGAACTCTGAATGCTTCAGAACAGACTGTTAAACGGCAACCTGCTGGGTTGATTGTAGGACAAACAAGATTGGCATTAAACACGTTAGCTAACATTTAAAAGTCCTGACAGATTAGCTGCAGAACAAATACAATCAAGTCAATAATAGATGCCGTCATCGTAACAGATTATCTGAATTATCAAAGTTAAAGTACACTAAAAATATACGGTGCTATCCTGGCTAATTAATTTCATCTTGTACAGTTGCCTGATGACTTGTTATGCATCAGATTAGATTGGATTGGATTAGATTAGATTAGATTAGATTAGATTAGATTAGATTAGATTAGATTAGATTAGATTAATCTTATTTTTTTCTTTTAGGCCACTGGTGTCATACTATTTGTGACCAAGTAAGCCATTTTGAAGTATAGTAACTTTGGGGGCAGGAATCGGGACAAAACGCAACAGCATTCAGTGATCTTTTGAAAACACCTAACAACCTTATCTGATTCCCAATTAATTTGCCCTATTTATTAGCATCTAATAGAGTGTGAAAATGAAAATGGTCTCCACTCAGTATACATCTGGAAGATTAGGAATGAAAGGAAAACTGCCATGCAATGCAGGAATCAACTACAAGTCTCTAAAAAAAAGTAGCAGGCAAAAGCCAAGTGTAGTGTTGTGTTGTGTTGTGTTGTGTTGTGTTGTGGTCCAGCTGGAAATGGTGTAAGGACCTCCTGTCTTCTACCTGCCCAAGACCAACTATGTAGATCAGAGGTCTTCAAATTTGGCAGCTTTAAGACTTGTGGACTTCAACTAGAGAATTCTGGGAGTTGAAGTCCACAAGTCTTAAAGCTGCCAAGTTTGAAGACCTCTGATGTAGATCATGTTCTCCCTTACTAAAAGTAATCCTGTCTGTCAAGAGGAAGAAATTTAGCAAAGCTACACAGGTAACAATGTTATTATTACGGTGATGGTTCACTTTTTTCCTGGTTGTTCTGGCAAACTCTGGGGCATATTATGCTCTTCCTTGTGAGGAAACATCAAGGCTATCTCATGGGGAGAGAGAGATGGATGCTGAAGTCCTCTGTCTTCTGGTATCTTGGTCCTCCTAAGCATCTAGAAGTTGTTATGGTGGTCTATGATGGAAAAAGAGCTCTCCAATTCTGGGTCGCTTCTGAATAGGCCACCTTCGCTGGTGGGTTCAGGAGGACTGTGGACCTCATAGGACTCCAAGATCAAGAATGTAGTCATCTCTCCCCTGAAGTCTCCTTTAGCTTCTGATCAAAGTCATTATACAAATTTGGAACGAGGGGGGGGGAGGAAGGAAGGAAGGAAGGAAGGAAGGAAGGAAGGAAGGAAGGAAGGACTTTGGGGACCTTGTTGCTGCCTGGGCTTGGTGGTTTTCTTGCAGACGTTTCATGACCCAACTAGGGAACATCATCAGTGCTGTAAGGGAGTGGGATTTGTGAAAGGGAGGGAGGGAGGGAGGAAGGAAGGTGAGGGGAAGGAAGGATAAAGGAGAGAAGGAAAAGGGAGGGAAGGGAAGGGAGAAACAGGGCTTGGACTGGCTATACTTACTTGTAAACTCTTCTGGTCACCATATTACTTTGTTCCCAATTCTGGTCTTGCGAACCAAGGCCCACAGCTCTGCTCACAAAGCAATTCCAAGCAGGCATTAAAATAGAGCTAATTAACAGCTGAGAATTGTTTGTTGTCCGGGTCTTTCAGGATAAGAGGAATTCGGTGGGTGCCGCTTAAAAAGCAGGTGGTTTATTCCCCCATAAACCTTTTCTTTGGCCAGGTGGCTCCCCTCGCCCTTGTAAAACAGCGGGAGTAGAAAGCTGTACTGATTCTGGAAGAGAAACAGGAGGAGAAGTCAGTCTTGTTGGTCCAGCAAATAAAGTCTCTAAAAACGCAAATCAGTCCTAGCAGAAATCCTTAAATCAGGAGCCCAACGACTTTCAACATTTGCAAAGAAGACTCAGAGTGAAGCTTGGGCCATACGACCCGCAGAATTTAACTCTGTGGTCTTAATTCTCCTCCAGACACTATATTAACCTGGCTCCCACCCATCTATTGTTCTTCTCCAAACCCCTTTAGACTGGGCTCTCCTTGCTTATACAGGTAGTCCTCCACTTGCAACGGTTCGTTTAATGACCGTTGAAAGTTACAACGGCGCTGAAAACAGTGACCCATGGCCGTTTCTCACGCTTACGGCCGTTGTAGCTTCTGTACTTTGCACTGGTTTGGTTTGTGATGATCCCGGGAGGCGCCACATTTCTCCAGGCAGCTGCTGCTCCTGGATTGCGAGGTCCTAACACGTCACAGTAGCTGCAACCTCTCCAGCATCGTATAGAGATGATTCTTCCTTAATACGGGAAGACCTTGAGTTACGACCGCAGCTGAACCCAAAGTTTATGTTGCTAAGTGAAATGTTCATTAAAAATGTGTTTTACCCCATTTTAGAACCTTTCTTGCCATCGTGGTTAAGCGAATCCCTGCAAGTGTTAAGTTAATAACATGGTTGTTATTTGGATCCAGCTTCCTCCTTGACTTGGCTTGTCAGAAGTTTCTCAAAAGGGGATCATGTGACCTTGGGACACAAGTCATAAATAAAAAAACAGTTGCCAAAAGATCTTGATCACATGACCATGGGGATCCTTCAATGGTCGTAAGTGTAAAAAACGGTCCTGAGTCACTCTTTGAGTGCTGTTATAACTTTGAATGGCCACTAAACGCACAGTTGTAAGTCAAGGACTTCCTGTATCTAGACGTTAGCCTGGGAAATCAAAGGGACATTCCTACAGAAGACAGGGAGAAGGTATTTCCATCATTGAGTTGCCAAGTCAACTCAAGAAAGAGTTTATTTTTGCACAGTGATGACAACTGGTGACTAGACTCCTTTGTGTCTTTAGTTAAAAGTCTGTCCTAATTTAATGATCGGCGGTAAGTATCTACAAGACCGCCGCAGTTAACGTTGAATTACCAACCAGGAAGTTCTTCAAATAACTTAACCCTTCAGCTAACCGCGCTTTTCTTCTTCCTAACTAACTCATGCAGTAACTGTCAGAAGGTAGTTTCCTTTAGACATGGAGAGGACGCTCACATATTTTCAAAATCTATCCTGATTGGTCGACGAGAACCATCTGACTTCATTGCGGACGTTGTAGGTCATGGTTGGTTGCAGATCTGCTCACAGTAACTGTACACAATTTTTGTATTGCAGTTCACTTACGCACTGGGGAGCTACGGTAAGCAAGCTGGTAGTTTTGGACTGCAAATCTCACAATCCCTTGCCATTGTCATACAGGTGTACTAGCTCAAGGAAGCTGCCTTGCCTTTGAGAACATCAGTTGTGTATTCCTGTGGTAGAGCTAGACTAGTGAAAGTCACGGTGATGATAGTGGTGGATTCTCTATCTCTTAAGAAAACCAGACTGCTCTGTTTCAAGAACCAGGTCCGTTCCTTGTGAGTAAAGTTTTGGTAAAGTGAAGATAGTCTACAAGTGGACTTTTCTATCTCCAGTTTCTCTGCCTTGTGTGGGAATTGTAGCTCAACATACCTCATTGGGGATGCATTTGGGCAAGTTATTCCCATTCTACAATTATCTACTTAGCGTCTCCATCAAATAAAAATGCATTGATGTGAACTTGTTCAAGTATTCAAGAAAAGTCACCCTAGCAAGTGAAGGCCGTCTTCCAAATATTTTGCCTCAGTAGTCCTTCTTCTCTTCAGCAGCTTTCCCTGGAATAGTTGGGTTTCTCCAAGGGAATAGCAATCATCCAAAACAGATTGCTTACTCATGGAGGCCATATGAGGCTTCAAAGGAACACCTGGTTGGACATGTCTACGGAGATTCTCCGTCATCCAGGTCATGGTTGTCCCAAAGGTACTTTTTTCAAGAGGCAACTGGACTTTCTGGTTTTTCTTTGAAGACGTTTTGCTTCTCAGGCAAGAAGCTTCTTCAGCTCTGAAGCTTCTTCAGCTTCTTCTTCAAAGGGAGGTCTTCAAGAGCTGAAGAAGCTTCTTGGCTGAGAAGCGAAATGTCTTCAAAGAAAAACCAGAAAGTCCAGGTGCCTCTTGAAAAAGCACCTTTGGGACACCTAGTTGGACAAAGCTTCCATCCCAGAGCCTCTCTGAAGCGAAGCCCTGATTTGAAACTGGGTCCCCTCCTAATTTAAAACAGGCTCCTGGGAATGTAGAGGCCTTTTTCCACTCTGGAGGCCAACCAAATCAAGTCAACCCACTTCAATCGCCACTTGGAGGCACCAAGATGGAATGAGGAGGGCAAGGCAGGAAGAAGGTCTGAATTGAGGTGATGTCTTTGAAGGTCACCTCTTCAACTCATAGCCCAAAACTGAGTTAGTCCACAAACAAGTATTGAAACATACTTGATTCTTAGCATCATTTGGGATCACCATTTATTTGGTGATCCACCTAGTCAACCCAGCCTGATATAAATGACTGTGCAGACAGATTAAAAAGCTATTTGTGGGGGGAAATTATGATTTTTGAGACGTGAAGGTGTCATGGGTTGGTAATGCCCCGCCTAGCTTTAGGAGTTTCTCCATTTACTAACATCGGTGGACGTTTGTCGTTCAGGAGGTTACTAATTTTTGTGGGAGAAGATCAGCTGGCTCTCTCCGTCACGCCTCTTACACTTCATATCACATGTGCATGTGTCCGTGCGTGCACAGGCTTAACGGTAGAAAACCAAATGTCATTTTGAAGGCTTCTCGAAGGATGGGAAACACCAGGCATTGTGAGGTGCATGGCTCAAGCATTGCGATCGATGAATGTCTCTGGGGGGGCCTGGCTCAAACCAATCTGTGTCATCAGCTCTGGCCAATGTCGCTGTCACTGTGAGCATGTCCTGTTGATTGACCCACCAGAAGACACGAGTCCCTCCCCATCCCTTGTTTAAACCTCTCCCCCCTTCCCCATCATGCTGCTATCTGTTGAGCGTGTTCTTTGTTGTCTCTCTCTTTCAGCCCAAGCTTTTATCCAAGGAGCTGCTAGATCTGGTAGCGTCCCACTTCAATCTGAAGGAAAAGGAATATTTCGGAATTGCCTTCACTGATGAGACGTAAGTGTCCGAAGGGCCAACCGTTTGGAAGATCAAGGAAGGGTTTGCTTTCTGGAAAAAATTGCTCCGTGGATTAATGTCTCTGGAGATTCTCAATCAGGGTTGTCCTCAAAGATGCTTTTTCCAAAAGGCACCTGAACTTTCTTGGGTTGTTTTTGTAAATCAAGTTCTTTTTTTAATTTATATATATATATATATGTATTTTGAATAAAGTGTGTTGTCCGGAAAAGGGGAAAAAAATGAAGTAACAAATATACTGATAGTAATATTAGTAGTACAGATAATGATTAGAACCAGTGGTGGGTTCCTCCTGGTTCAGTCCGGTTCGGCTGAACCGGTAGCAGTGACGATATGATGTCACCGAACTGGTTCTCCCCCCCCCCGCCCTTCCACCACCCCCCACATTATTCTTACCTTTTATTTGATCCCACCCCCAATCTATTGCTGCCTCCTGAGTCCCAGCTGATGACCAGAGGGAAAAAAACTGTTTAAACTCTTGCCGCGGGGCTTCAAAGGGCCGCCCTACAGCTGATCAGTGTTAAAAGCAAACAAATGAGTCGGGTTGTAAGTGCGAGGACCTTCCAGAAATGACTCTGACCAGCTAGCTACGCCCACCTAGTCACATGACCTCCAAGCCACCCCCACAAAATAAGCCACGCCCACAGAACCGGTAGTAAAAAAAATTTAGAAGCCACCCCTGATGATAACCATATTTATAATTGCATTAGCTTATTTATGATCGTATCAATCGTATTAGCAAACTTAGTTATAAACAACATTCATATTTTACTCAAACATAACAATGCTCTTTCTTCATCTAATTTCTACCTCTTATCTCTAACCATTGATAAAACCTATTCCACGTTGAATAATACTCTGTATCTCCTTTATCTTATATTTTCATTTATCTTATATTATAAAATATCTTATATTTTATCTTATCTATCCATCTCTGCGCAATCCAATATTTTCTGAATTGTATTTTCATCTGGTAGGGTGTTCCCATTTTTTCAGTGTTGTGCAAATATTATTCTCGCTGCTGTCAATACATGTAACATTAAATATATAGTCCCTTTGTCATAACTTTCTGGTATTATAACTAACAAAAATATTTCTGGCATTAAATCTATATGCTGCTTAATCATCTTAGAAAGCTGGACTCTCTTATCTAGGATGTTTCTGAGCCACCCAGAATCTTTTGGTTAGTGAGATGGTGACCTATACATTTAATAAAAACCAAATAAAATAAAAAATCCGTACAGATTTCTTCAGGGATGGGCATGATTTTGCTCCACAGAGCACCCAAAGGTGCTTTTTCCAAAAGGCACCTGGACTTTCTTTTTTTCTTTCCCTTGAAAGTGTTTCTCTTCTCATCCAAGAAGCTTCTTCAGTTCTGGCTGAATAGTGGAAAATAGAAGGATTTATATGCTTTGTCATTCATATTCAGAGTGCTAATAACCAGATGACTGCAATTCCTCACCGTTCAGCCAGAACTGAAGAAGCATCTTGGATGAGAAGCAAAATGTTTTCAAAGGGAAAAAAAAACAAAACCATGAAACTCCAGTTGTCTTTTGGTGCTCGGTGGAACAAAATAATGCCCATCTTTGAAGAAATCTGCATAGATTTTTATTTTATTTGGTATTTATGAAATGTATAGGCCACCCTCTCACTAACAGAGATGCTGGGTGGCTCAGAAACTTCATAAAGAGAGAGGTACAAACATTAAAGCACTATAGAAATTGAATAAATAAACGATATTAAAAAAAAACCAAAATTAAGTAAGTTAAAAAACCAAGATACTACGGGACAGAGGTGGGAAGTTGTTCTCCATTTTAAATTTTTCCTGCAACCACGAACATCGTATTTCAATTAAAAGTACTGAAATTTTACGTGTGTCTATACTTCACCACAGCACTCAAGTAGTCCTCAGACGCTTGGCCACTGACTCATATTTATGACGGACACGTGATCCCCTTTTGCGACCTTCACCGAGGAAGCCAGATTCACCTCACAACCCTGTGACTAATTCTAACAACCGCAGTGATTCCCTTAACAGCCGTGGCAAGAAAATTTGTAAAACGGAGCAAACCTTGCTTAACAAATTTCTCACTGAGCAACATAAATTTTGGGCTCAGTTGTGGTCGTAAGTCCAGGACTACCTGTATAGCTAAATGGGGAATATGAAAAATGACTTTAAATGGCTATACTAAAAAAAAAAAAAAACCTATTTCCTTTTTAAGATAATTGTCTCTCTCTCTCTCTTTGTCTTCTCTTTGCAAAGTGGGCTCTTCATGAGTGAAAGCCTCTCTAGTTAGTCATTTATCAAGTGGCAAATAGAACAAAAACAGCTGGAAAATAATCAATATGTAATTAGCAGCCTCAAAACCCTTAACTTGATTTTGTCCGTGGCAAAATTTTGCTGATTCCTAAGGTTCGGCCTTACACAGTAGATGTTGATTCTCAAGAATAAAACCAGAACTCAGAAATAACTGATATAAAACAATAGAATAATTAGAGAATATTTTTAGCTCAGGGTTGACCTGAAGGTTCCTTGGTGCTCTCTGAGCAAACTCAGAGAGCACCAAGGACCCCCACAGTCCTCCTTCTCCTCTTCCTCTTCCTCCTCTCTGCAAATCCCCCTCCCTTCTAGCACTGATTATGTTATCTAGTTGGGTCATGAAACATCTGCAAGGAAACCACCAAGGAGCCCCTTAATAGAATAATTGGGTGTATGTATCCGTGCACAGGTTTTGTTTGCGTCCACACACACCTGCTAGTGAAAAATTGGAATTCCTGGAAGCAGTCTATTAAACTGTGGAGTCCATTCATCAATTAGGTCTCCCTGTCACTCAGGAGAAGGATCAGAGATGTTCTGGAGAAGCAGTTCTGCCTTCAGCTGTCTTGAGGGGAGAGCCAGTGACCTGTGGCAGATTTGAAGAGCTCGAGAAGGGACCCAGGCCAATTAAAGGGGGAAGATTTATATCCTCTGTGGGGGGAAACAACCAGGCAGATGGAATCTCATTGTTCCTGCACATGCAACAGATTCCTAATTATATTAGAAGATTATTAGCAAGAAACACCCACGGAAGCGTGTTTATTGCGGATCGATAAACTTGCTGGATACGCAGCATGAAAACGCTGCTTTAGAAAGCCAGAAAAATAGTCTTTGCTCTCGGAGAGGAGTCTAAATCTGGCCTCCTTTCAAGTGCAGTTGATCTTCTTTGTTTATTATTATGCATTTTTTATTTTAAAAAAAAGAGACTATAGATCAGGGGAGAGTTCCAAATCCCATCGCTACCAGTTCGCTCCTGTGCGCAGGGCACACGAAGCATCTGGGCAGAGCACAGAAGCAGGGGTGCACAGAAGCATCCGGGCAGGTGGGCGGAGCCTCCCGCTGCCACCGCTACCAGTTCGCCCAATCCTGTGCGAAGCAGTAGCAACCCACCACTGCTATATAGGGATTATTTGGAGTGTTTTAATTCCTTTTGCAGAAACTGCCTGGGGAAGCTTTAGAAATGGGAAGCAGGAAGCCATGAGGATGAATGGATGGATGGATGGTAGATAGAGGGATAGATAGATAAATTGATAGATAGATAATAAACAATAGATAGATAGATACAAACAGTAAATAGAAATGAGATAGATGATAGATAGATAGATAGATAGATAGATAGATAGATAGATAGATAGATAGATAGAGCTGATTGGAGGTTGAGGCTAAAATTTTCAGTATGCGTAAGAGACAGAAAGTGTTAAAGGCACAGAAGCACACTTATAGACTGTTGTGCAAGCAATTAGAGAAGTCATAGTAACCTTAGTGGTTCTGGGTGTGCTACAGAATTTTGTAAACAAGAAAAATATTGTTGCCTTAAATCTTCTGGATTCAGAAGGTCACCACATCTGGCTGACCTTGGTTGGTTCAGAAACTAACCAGGATAATACCTGGATAGAAATGATAAGGCTATAACTCTGGAAAGTCATAAAAATAAGTCAAAGGAAGACAGTGTGAGACCACTTCTGTCCTGTTGCCAAGGAAACCATATTCATGAAATCCCTAGGAATCCACCGTGACTTGAAGGAGACTAAATTTACTTACCCAGGTTAAAAAGACAAATGTTGATTTTAAAACATCTAAACCCACATCTATTAATTCGGTTCCAATTGACTTTCAGCTTGATTCATTGTCCCATTTTCTAAACCCGCAGCTTTTATTAAAAGGCATCTATTTTCATGTAGCTCAAGACCTTCGTGAAAAGGCCTTTTTTAAAAAAATAAAATTAGTTCATCAGAAAAAGGTACTCCTGATGTTACAACTTCCTAAGTTTGGTGTCCTGCTGCCTAGCTGTTTCTCCTCCAACATCAAGAGGCTACCAGAATTGGAATTGTTGGTTTAGCCCAGGTGTCAGCAACCCATGGCTCTGGAGCCGCATGTGGCCCTTTCAGCCCTCTGCTGTGGCTCCCGATGCCGCTGCTGCTGCCGCCTCCATGGCCTGCCCACACAGTGAAAGCGTGCTTCACCATGGGGGAGATGGGGTCCCTTCCTCCTCCTGGTGCCCATTACGACGTGGAGCTACAATGTGACCCTCCCCACTCGCCCCCAGCAACAGAAGCGGTGTTGGCTGCAGTGCGGGGCGGGCCAGTGTCTCGGGACGGAGAGCAGGTCGCGCGTCAAGCACTAACCAAGGCTGGAAGCAGCCACCCGCCGTTTCATGCTGCAGTAGGGCAGCAAGAGACAGACAGAGAGAGAGGCAGAGACAGAGACAGAGACAGAGAGAGACAGAGAGACAGAGAGAGACAGAGACAGAGAGGGGGGAAAGAGAGAGAGAGAGACACCAGAAACAGAGACAGAAAGAGACAGAGAGAGAGAGACAGACAGACAGACAGACAGAGAGACAGAGACAGAGAGACAGAGAGAGAGGGAGGGAGAGAGAGAGACACAGAGACAGAGACAGACAGAGAGGCAGAGAGAGACAGAGACAGAGAGAGAGAGAGAGAGAGGGAAAGAGAGAGAGAGAGAGAGATACACCAGAAACAGAGACAGAAAGAGACACAGAGAGAGAGAGAGACAGACAGACAGACAGAGAGACAGAGACAGACAGAGAGAGAGGAAAAGAGAAAGAGACACACACCAGAAACAGAGACAGAGACAGAGAGAGACAGTCATGTGACTGGGTGGGAGTGAGTGACGTCAAGTTGGCCACGCCCACTCAGGTTTTGTGGCTCCCGGTGTTTTCTTTTCTGTGGGAAATGTGTCCAAATGGCTCTTTGAGTGTTTAAGGTTGCAGACCCCTGGTTTAGCTTGTGTTGAAAGGAAATGAGTAACATGCTGCTTTCTGCTATTCTAAACCACATAAAGGTGATTCTTCAGCTCTGGAGGAAAAGTTTGCAAGAGTAATTTACGGGAGTTAAAAATTACTTGTATGAAGGATTTCCATTTATTAACTTCCCTAGCCCAGGATATCAGACTCGCAAAATAGTCTGATAGGAACAGGGTTTCCACCGGGGGCTTAATTTTGATCATGGAGAGCCATCCCTTCATCTAGGGTGGCCAAAATTAAATTGTCACAGACTTTTGAAAAGTTCTTCGATGTACAACAGAACTGACTTTTATGCTACTTGTATGGAGAGGAGCAGAGAAAGCGTACGCCGGTGTTAAATCCAGCATGCTTAAAATTGGAGCACCGAAGAAATCAAGTTAATCCTTCAAGAATTATCCTTGTCAGCCTGCTCACCTTTGCTCATGTTTATGTGTTTAGTTCCATAAATATTTATATCCTCTTGATCTTCTGGAAGATCTCCGCTTTGGATGATTATACGGCACAGTTAAAGCCCACTCAGGAGTTGTGTTTTTGAAAAAAAATGGGTGTTTTTCGCATGAACAAAAACATCTCAGCTATTTTGTTTCAGCAACTACATCGGGTTATCAAAAGTTCTAGAACTCCAGAAGATTCAGATAGTCGTATGCGTAGAACAAATAATGGCATAAGTATTCCCAGACAAACGTGACTCTGTACTGACATCACGAGTACCTTCTACGATGTTCTTCAACCTAGAACTAAGGAGAACCTTCCTAACCCTGAGACCGATCAACCAAGGGAATAGCTTGCCTTCAGAAGTTGTGGGTGCTCCATCATCTGAGGTTTTTAAGAAGAGACTGGACAACCATTTATGTGAAATGGTAGAGTCCAGGAGTCCTCAAACTTGGCAGCTTGAAGACTTGTGGACTTCAACTCCCAGAATTCCTAGAGGGAGCCAAGATCCCCTTTGAGGTATGCTCAGTTCAAGTCTGGGAGTTAAAGTCCACAAGTCTTAAAGCAGCCAAGTTTGAAGACCTCTGTGGTAGAGGGTCTCCTGCTTGAGCTGAGGGTTGGATTAGAAGACCTCCAATGTCCCTTCCAACTCTTGCTATTCTATCTTTTGTGTCAGGGTCAACTAGATCTGCTCACCTTCCGAATTACCTGTTGATGCTTGGGTCCTAGACCCAACTCCACTTGATAAGATGGAGAAGATGCCAAGAAGAAGGACCATCTAGCATATATGTTGTGCATCTCTCTCTCTAATGCCATTTTTACAACAGCCTATCTCACCCAGGAGCAAAGGACAATCCATACACTAAATTCATCCCAATTTCTGACTCCAAGCAGCATAGTGCTTATTCTGATGATAGTCCAAGACAAAGATGAAACATTGCAAAAAATAATAATATTGGTTTCATTTCTTTAAAGGGACTTTGGCCACATGGCTACATGAAACTGTAGAGGCCTTACTGGGTTGGACAGATCTCTAATCTTGTAACCCATGGCCAAATCCGTGCCAAGCGCTCTCCTTCTAAGAGTCACTATTCTACTTTGAACAGAGGGTTTCCCAACCAGTAGCGTCAAAGATGTCGATTCAACATGGAAATAATCTAAATGGAATTACTGGCGGGGGAGGGAGACATCTAACAGACAGTGGAGAAATAAGGAAAGTATCTCATTGGAGATTTTTCCATTAGTCCAAGCTGAAGCAGACTCTGATGAAGTTTAGGAGCCAAAATCAAATGATCTTGCTTGCTATTAGAACAATTAAATCAGTGGAACGACTTGCCTCCAGAAGTTGTAGGTGCTCCAACACTGGAGGTTTTTAAGAGGTTGGACAACCATTTTCTCCTGCTTGGGCAGGGGGTTGGACTAGACGACCTCAAAGGTCCCTTCCAATTCTGTTATTCTGTCATTGTCTGTCTGTCATTCTCCCCCCCCCTCTCTCTCTCTCATTGTTTGTTCATATTTTGGGGGTCGATCTTATAAGAAGATCCCCCCTCTTTTGTGAGCTTGTTTCAGCCGTAGTGATTCCCCCCACTTGGTATTTTACATTAACCGGATAATTGTCAAGGTAATTGTTGCCATTTTGTTTTGTTTTTTTAAGTTGTAAAATTGATCATAAACGATAAAATGCCCAATATCTGCAAACACATCACTGTCCTTTTCAGCCAAAGTGGGAGTATCATTTGCAGAGTGGCCGGATCTGGTTTCTTTGAGGGTGGGATCAGAAGGGCCTTGAGAACATCAAAAGTCGAGAACCCACCCAAACTCTCTACGCCAGTGTTTCTCAACCTTGGAAGCTTGAAGATGGGTGGACTTCAACTCCCAGAATCCCCAGCCGCTGCTGGCTGGGGGATTCTGGGAGTTGAAGTCCACCCATCTTCAAGCTTCCAAGGTTGAGAAACACTGCTCTACGCCATCCAAGAGCTACTTCCAGCTTAATCAAAAGAAATGCCTCCAGAGAGCATCTCTGGGAGCAGCAGCCCGTAGTAACTGCTGCTTACTCGGAGTGTGAACGAGCGTGCAAGAGAGGAGCAGCTGTGTTTTCCCAAAGCTCTCAAAAGCCAGTTTGACAGAGTTTATTTGCAAGGCTGTTCCAGACATACCGAGTGGCAAATAAAATGTCTGAGACGTTGTTTGGCCATGTTTTAGCCTGCGGAGGAATCTTCCAGACCTCGTATAAACTCCTGACATTAACAGTGTTTAATAAATAAAACCGGCAGACTTTCAATTATCGCGTCCCACAAAGGGTGGTCAGGAGAGCAAAGAAGGACCCCGGCTCTTATCTCTTCTCCTCACCATTTTCTCCTTCTCCATCTCCAGTTCTTGCCTGGACAGGTTGAACTTTCTGTGTTAAACATCTGAGCTTGAAGTGATACCACAGCTATCCCCAAGTGTCTACAACGTTTATCCCTCAAGAGCCCTGGGATTTCATTCTTCTTGAACTTCTTATGCTTGACCGTTGCAAACCAGTTTTCCTTTCCCTCTCAGACCCTCTTGATGTGTGGATCTTCAACTCCCATGGTTCTTAACCCCGGTGTCTCAGAAGTATGAGAGTTGGGGTCCCACACACCTGGAAATGTTTAGGTTAGTGAAGCTGAACCGGATGAAGTGTTCGTTAGAGAGGCAGGGGATAGTAACGATTGAGGTGTTTGACTAAGTCTAAGGAGACCCCAGTTCAAGTCCTCATTCAAGGAGACATCTCACCGGCTTTGGGGTTAGTCACTGTCTCTCAATCTAACGTTCCTCAGAAGGTTTAATTAATTAATTTAATCTTTGGTTTAATTTTTAAACCAAAGATTTAAAAATAGTGGAGGAAAGAACTAGCTATGCTTAAATTCCTGTAGGAGTGGCAGAGTAGAAGTAACACGATTGGTTGGTTGGTTCGTTCATTCATTCATTCATTCATTCATTCATTCATTCATTCATTTTTTTTTAATTTGATTTATATGCCGCCCTTCTCCGGCAGGGTGGCTTACAATGCGTTAAGCAATAGCTTCATACTTTCATATATTTATACAAAGTCAGCTTATTGATTGATTGATTGATTGATTGATTCATTCATTCATTCATTCATTCATTCATTCATTCAATTTTTATGCTGTCCATCTTCCCTTACAAGGTGACTTTGGTCAAGGCAATGCAATGATATAAAATGACATAAAATGGTTTAATATTCTAATCCCCTTTTCTCTGTGTGTCTGTTGTTTAACCAGGGGCCATTTGAACTGGCTTCAGTTGGACCGCCGGGTGCTGGAACATGATTTCCCCAAAAAATCTGGATTGGTTGTTTTATACTTCTGTGTCAGGTGAGGTTTTTTGACAAGTCATCTTTCCAAATCATCTTATTCATGGATTTTATTATTTCATCTGTTGCCCTGAGGCCTCATTGAACATCAGATGTTGACTACCGACTAGGATTCATCACAAAAGTCCTCGCACGCTTTTTATCTGTTTTGTAAAGAGAGAGGTGATTTTTATTTTTTTAAATCCCAACTCTGCTGATAGTTTTGTCATCGTCATAGCAGATCCCTGGTTTGGAAAGAGTTCTACATGAAATGGATAAGACCCTCCTTTAATCACTGGTGTGTAAGTGAGAAGAGTCACAACCACAGAAATGGGTTCTAAGACACAGTAAACACAAAAAGGAAAGGAAAGGAAAGGACAGTTGAGGTGTCCACATAGTAGGAGAATCAAAAACATCCAACAAATGTAAACGAGAAAGAGGGAGGGAGAGAAAAAGAAGGAAAGGAAGGAAGGAAGGAAGGATAACAGCATAAAAGAATAACAACAGAATCAAAAGCATTCAATGTAAAAGAGGGAGGGAGAGAAAAAGAAAGAAAAGAAGGAAGGAAGGAAGGAAGGAAGGAAGGAAGGAAGGAAGGAAGGAAGGAAGGAAGGAAGTAGAAGTCACCATCTCCTAGTGATTGGCCCAAAGTCACCCAGCTGGCTTTCATGACTAAGGCAGGACTAGAACTCACCGTCTCCTGGTGATTGGCCCAGCCAGCTTTTGTTCCTAGGGAGCAACTAGAACTCACGTCTCCTGGTTTCTAGACGAGCCGCTTCATTATTACACGAAAGTGACTCTCTATTTTGCATCCAAAGTGCCGTAAGACTTAGAGACATTTCTAACAGATTCAGTTTAACGTAACACCCAACATGGCAGAAGCGAGGGAACTGCGTCCAAAATATTTGGTGGGTATTGAATGGCCTAACCTTGGAGGAAACCTGATATTTGGGGGATTTTAATGAAATAGTAGACATCTTCAGTAAAGCTCCATCATTCGAACTTATTCCAACGTTTTGAACAAAGCTGAGAGAGAAGGGTGAGGAGGAGAGAGTGTTATACCAATTTATTTTTTCTTTTCTTTTTTTTAATTTTTGCAATCACTTCCTGGTCTTTTATTTCTAGAAATCCCATGTTTTTCAAAAAGTCTCAGAATTTTAAGAAGTGCAATACTGCCCTCTGCTGTTTCTCAGAAGCATTTTCTTCCTTTCACCATATATTCTCTTGCAAGGAAGAACATTTTAGTAGTTTCTTCACCTCATCCAGTCTTCTGCCTTCAGACTGGCCAATATTGAATACGGCTGGAAAATCCACAATCCAAAGAGGAGTATATATTTTTCATTTTTCGCTTCCCTCTATAGATCATTAACTTCCTTTATCGTTAGCCACACCCTGCATAATTCGGGCAAATGGACTCTTAGACATCATAATTCTTCCTTTTAGGAAATTGGCATCAAGACTCTTTCTCAAAGCAAAATGGGGTTTTCTTTCAGTCGTTGTGTAGGGGCCACGTTTTTCAATATTGCACACTTCTTTGAGTTGTTCTATGGTCCGTCTGGTGTCAGATTTGATGGTGTCCAGCCATCGTGGTCTGGTTTCCTTTTACTGCTACCTCTTCCCAACATAATTGCTTTCTCCAATGAATTTCCCTGCATGAGGTGGCCAAAATAAGTCAGATACAGTTTTGTGATTTTTGCCTTCCTGTGAATTGTGCTCCGATACTTCCTTGTTAGTCACCCAAGGAACACGCAGGCGCCTTCTCCAGAGTCACAGCTCAAACGAGTCGGTTTTCTTCCTGTCTTTCTTTTTAAATAGCAATTAGCACTTATATACCGCTTCACAGTGCTTTACAGCCCTGTCTAAGGGGTTTACAGAGTCAGCTTCTTGTCCCCAACAATCTGGGTCCTCATTTTACCCACCTCGGAAGGATGGAAGGCTGAGACAATCTTGAGCTGATCAGGATCGAACTGCTGGCAGTGGGCAGAGTTAGGAAGGAAGGAAGGAAGGAAGGAAGGAAGGAAGGAAGGAAGGAAGGAAGGAAGGAAGGAAGGGGAAGGGAAGGGAAGGGAAGGGAGGGAGGGAGGAAGGAAGGAAGGAAGGAAGGAAGGAAGGAAGGAAGGAAGGAAGGAAGGAAGGATAATGGCAATAGCCCTTAGACTTATATACTGCTTCACAGTGTTTTGCAGCCCTATTTAAGCAGTTTACGGAGTCAGCTTCTTGCCCCCAAGAGGCTAACTCTGTATCTGGATCCTCATTTTACCCACCTTAGGAGGACGGAAGGCTGAGTCAACCTTGAGCTGGTCAGGATCGAACTGCTGGCAGTGAGCAGTGAGTTAGCCTGCAATACTGCATTCTCACCACTGCGCCTCCAGGGCTCTTAAAGTTCTCATTCCCACAACTACAGGTAGTGCCAGGGAACAAAATAGAATAGATTTACCTACATTTGACTGCCAAGCTGATGTCCTTGCTTTTCCATATTCATCATGTTCATCCTAATCCTTAGATATCATAATTAAAATGTCTTCTCTGTCCATCCAGGATGTCACCCAGGCCAAAGAACGTTTTAATTCGAATGCCTTTGTCTGCCTTCCTTCTTTTGTTGAGTGTTATTAGTGAGATAAATATTGCAAGAAGTGCTTTAAGGAACATGTGAGTTTGAGGATGGATATTCCGAAGGACGATCACTTTATTTCCATCTATGTGATGAAGTGCACGGGGAGATTCTAGGACAGCCCCATTTATTCTATAAATTAGCAATTTTCAACTGAAGTCCTGCAGCGTAAAGAAACATTACCAGCGTGAGTGCGTAGAGGTCTGATCGATCAGGTTCTTAATCAATAAAAGGGGGAAGGTTAACGGCCTACGGTTTGTTAAGAAGATCAAATACACATTAAAGTAATGAGCATTCTCCTCAGCTTTTAGGAAGAGCCCAAGGTTTAAATCTAGCTACATAACTGAGATGAATCAGATGTTGGGAGAAGGGTTGGTAAGGAGATTAAAGATTGCAAGAGTAAGAAAAAAAATCAAAAAGTATTCAAAGATTCCTTGGGAAAGACTTGCAGGGTTTTTTTTAATACCTTATGTTACTCCGTATTGGCGACAGGAAGGGCATCCGGCCAGTAAACACTCGGCTCCATTCAATTGCCCAAACTCCGCCCCGCAAGGGATTATGGGATTGTTAAAAGATGATGATGATGATACAGGTAATCTTCGACTTACAACAAATTCAGCCTTTGAACAATTCAGCACCCCATTTTGTAAAAATGCTGTTCCTTTTCAACCAACACCCATCCATTGTCCATCCTTTGTTCGTCCCCCAAAACCTCTTCGAAAAAGCCGCAACTTCTCAGGTTAGGATGCATCCTTTGTTTTGACGCCGCTCGGAAGTGCAAATCCTGAAGGACCACGGCTGGGAAAAAGTAAACAAGCCCAATTCTAAAATATTTATGGAGCTATCAATCCGTCTGTGAAATAAAACAAGCTTTAATGCCTTTCCTATCGGATGGTGTCTTCAGGGACCCACAAATCTCGCCGACAATCATAACAAATCGCCGAGAAAGAAAAAGGAATTTTTTTTCCCCCTCCTTCAGCCCTAAAGGCTCTGCTTTTTTTTTTCCCTCACATCCAGATAAAAAAAAACAAATTGAATCAAGGCTCCTGTATTTATTTCTCAGCCGTGTTTCTTTTCTGAGCTGATTTGACTTGTCTCTTTCGTTTTCCAGGTTCTACATTGAGAGCATTTCTTACCTGAAGGACAACGCCACCATTGAATTGTTTTTCCTGAATGCCAAGTCCTGTATTTATAAGGCAAGTGCTGGATGTTTCTTCTTCTTCCTGTTTTTTGCAACGGTTGAGCTCAAACCTGGTCAGTGCTGGCTAGATCAGGGGTGTCAAACCAGTGGTGAAATCTGAACCAGTTTGCTACCGGTTTGTTGGCGCACTGCGCGTCAAAAGGAGGCTTGGGAAGGTAAGTAGAACAATGAGGGGGGACCAGCTGTGCCGCATGATTTAACTTCGCTAAGAAAGCAGGATTTCCTGCTTTCTAGCAAAGCTAAACCGCGCGGCACAGCTGATCATCAGAAATACCGGTTCGCCCAAGCTGGTAGCTTTTATCACTATCGATTCTCCCGAACCGGAGCAAACCGGTAGCATTTCACCCCTATAAACTCAAATTTCATTGAGGGCCACATCAGGGCTATGGTTGACCTTAGGGGGTGGGGGTGGGCAACTGGGTGGGCGTGGCCAGCTTGACGCCACTCACTGGGCATGGCCGACTGGCAGAGGTGGGTTCTACTTACCTTTACTACCAGTTTGCAACGGGACCGTGCACGTGTGTGCTTGCTTCTCTCTCTCTCTCTCGTGCACTTCTGCGCATGTGCAGAAACTTCCTGATGACATCCGGGTCCATGGGTGGAGCCTCCCGCCGGTTTTACTACTGGTTCTTGTGAATCGGTCCGAACTGGGAGCAACTCACCACTCCCGACTGGGTGGACATGGGCAGCTTGACGCCACTTCCCAAACTGCTGGCATGTTTCCTCTTTCCATTGGGTAGACCGGGCTGAAGCCCCGCAGGTAGACCAGGATGGCCCCACGGGCTGGATCCGACCACATTGCAAGCTGGATCCGACCACATAGTGGGCCGAATCCAGCACTCAGGCCTTGAGTTTGACACCTCTGGGCTAGATAATAGAGGAACACTAGCTGTGCTCACACAATCCATGTAACCAAGTCAAGTACGGGTAATCCTCAATTTGCAACAGTTCATTTAGTGATGAAAATGATAATGGCACTGGAAAAAAAGGGACTTACGACCATTTCTCACCCTTGTGACCATTGCAGCATCCCCATGGTCACGTGATGAAAATTTGGAAGCTTGGGAACTGGCGTGTACTTATGACGGTTGTGCTGTCCCGGGGGTCACGTGACCCCCTTTTGTGCCTTTCAGACCAGCAAAGTCAATGGGGAAGGCGGATTCGCTTAACAACCATGTTACTTATTTAACAACTGCAACGATTTGCTTAACAACAGTGGTATAAGAAATGTGATAAATATGGGGCAAAATGGACTTAACCAGCCACAGTGGCGCAGTGGTCAGAGTGCAGTACTGCAGGCCCCTTCTGCTGACTGCCGGCTGCCTGCAATTCGGCAGTTCGAATCTCACCAGGCTCCAGGTTGACTCAGCCTTCCGTCCTTCCGAGGTCAGTAAATGAGGACCCAGATTGTTGGGAGCCAGAGGCTGACTCTCTACGCCGCTTAGAGAGGGCTGCAAAGCACTGTGAAGCGATATATAAGTGCTGTTGCTACTGTATTGCTATTAACAAATGTTTCACTTAGCAACATAAATGCTGGGCTCAGTTGTGGTCGTAAGTCGAGGGCTACCTGTACAAACCTAGCCGGCATATTTACATGACATGTTAAGTTTGATTAATGTCCATCCTGGTTAGATTTTTGGGGTCTTACTGTGCTGTGTCAACTTGGCGAATAATCTACCCAGCCTATATGATCGACCGTTTTTAGAATGGATGTATAGTTGCTCTTTAAGATGTTCCCAAAGGGCTTTTTTCTTTCAAGAGGCGAACAAAAAAAATCTTTCTCATTTTTCATTGAAGACGTTTCATTTCTCATCCAAGAAATTCTTTTTTTTTTAAGTATTTCCTTTTTTTTTATTGAAAATTATTAAAAAATACAGAAAAAAAAGTATAACAATATGGATAGAATTGCAGAGAGTAATATAATACATATAGAGTTTTAAAGTATCAATTTTTGCCTAGAGAAAGTACAAACCTCCATTAAACCAACTCATTAAAAGAAAAAAAAAGTTTATCCAGAAGAAAAAAAAATTCTCAGCTGCCATGCAATGCTCCTATAAATATTTACCCACGTTCACATTAAGGTTAATATTTTCGTTCTTCTTAGGATTTCTTTTTTTTCAGCCAAGCATACCACCTGTCCCAGCTCCTATATAACCCCGATTCTTGTCTATCTCGCAAAAGTCCAGTAAGCTTGTCTGCTTCTGCACAGTCCATGATCTTTGCAATTAACGTAGCCTCCGATGGGATATTTTTGGATTTCCATTCTTGCGCGAATGAGATGGCTGCAATGCAGTTCTTCAGTTCAGAATGGAGGAAGCTTCTTGGATGAGAAGCAAAACGTCTTCAAGGAAAAACCAAGGAAATCCGGTTGCCTCTTGAAAAAGCCCCTTTGGGAGAACCGTGACCTGGAGGATGGAGAATCTCCAGAGACGTCTTTAAAACGATATCCAGAAGACCCCCCCAACATGAGCCTTTAGCCCTGTTATCCAGGGGCCAAAGCATCATTAGAGCTCATTTGAAGATGTCCATTAGAATGATGACAGCTTTGCAGCTAAATCAGGACCGGAGGAAAATTCCCAGCCAATTGCAGGGAAGGGTCCAAAGTTGTTGAAAACTTGCTATTTACCTGTGTAATGCTGAGGATATTATTCCCATCCAAATGGTTACGGAGTTTGCAGGGAGGAAAGGACCGGCCTGACTTAAAATAAAACCTTCCTAAATGCAGAGTGTTGTGTAACCCATTGGCAGACCAAGACTTTCCTGGACGTTATTTCCTAAAATCTGAAATTCCACTTCTCTCTTGACTAATGAAATGTCTGGATTCACCCAATACACTAACCTTGAAAAAAAAAGAAGCTATGTCAAAGCCAGTAAATGCTGTTTTATAGCGATAATGAAGATTGATTTGATTTGATTTGATTTTGAGATGACTTAATACAAGAAGCTTCCAACACATGTTAAATTAAGAATGCATAATGTTGGCTTAATCTAGCATGTTTTGACACTGCTACAACAGAGGATAATTGAATTGCCTGTGTAACTAGCACCAACGCACTGACGCATTTAATTAGAATTATGAATCGTCCAATGTGAACTCTCTAGCCTTGGGTTCATGCTGGTCTCTTCCAACCTTGAAGACCAGCTACATTTGGGGAAACACAGCAGGTGGCAGCAAAGAGCTGATCTTGGCTAGTGTTGACCAGAAGCCAACTGCAATCAATCAATTGTTGCAACCCCAGATGGATTGTAGAGCTATTGAATTGGGATAGTAGAGCTGTTTGGTCAATGGTTAGCCAAGGAAACTTCGTAAATGTACAGTAGTTAACAGTAATTCAAAAATCAAGTTCTGACTTTATAACTAAACCCGAAAACCTCTCTTTAAGTTTCAGTTAGCATTATCTTCTAGCAGGGAGTTGGTAGTCTCCTAAGAATCTAGAATCATAAACCATCAATCCCAATTCAAACCAGTACAGTCCACAGAGGGAAGTTTCCTGGTTTGTTTGGCCATGCCTACAAGAAGAGTAGATCATTTGTTCCAGATAAACAAGTATTTTAAAGATTTTCATTTCAGCATTGCATCAAAAATCAGTATATTTGGATGAGTAAATCAAGAGCCACATAAGATTCATAAGCAAAAGATAAGTGTATATTTCTATATATAATGGTACCTTGGTACTCAACTGCTTTGAAACTCATCAAATTTGGTACTTCAGTCCATTCAATGGGTATGTACCAAAGACAAATTCCTTGTGTGTCCAATCACACTTGGCCAATAAAGAATTCTATTCTATTCTATTCTATTCTATTCTATTCTATTCTATTCTATTCTATTCTACTCTACTCTACTCTACTCTACTCTACTCTACTCTACTCTACCCTACCCTACCCTACCCTACCCTACCCTACCCTATTCTGATGCGAAATTTTTGTCCTGGTGCTCATTGTTTGTTTGGTACTTAATGCACAAGCTAGAACTTATTGGTGTCAGCTGCCTTGTGACTCGCTACATTACTCCTTATGGGGGAAAATGTGTTGGATATTCATTGTTTTTGGTAGTCATTGTGGCCCCCAGAACCAATTAACAATGAGTATGGAGGAACCACTGTATTTTGATGTACCAGTTGTAGCCTCCTCAATCATTGCACCCAGAACTCAAAGTGAGGATGAAATGTCTAGAGGCAACGTCTAACCACTTACACATAGATGCCAAGAAGTCAACTTTGACGTAGCCTTGAAGTCACCAGAAACAAGGATCAACCCACTGTAGCCTTTATCTTTTACTTATGATACAAACTCTTTGCTTGTCGCGTGAATCCAGTTATCTGGCCCAACAAAACAGTTTTAACAGAACAATAGAGTCGAAAGGGACCTTGGAGGTCTTCCAGTCCAACCCCCTGCCACAGCAGGAGACCCTATACCAGACAAATGGCTGTCCAATCTCTTCTTGAAAACCTCCAATGATGGAGCACCCACAACTCCTGGAGGGGAACTGTCAAGTATTTGCAAGCCATTGGCACATGTGTCATATAGACACCAGTGGAGGCAGAGAGTGCCTCCACCCCTATGTGGAAAGGAGGGGCTTACCCTGAGTATAAAACCCCCTCCAACCTTTTCCACCTCTCTCTCTCTCTCTCTCTCTCTCTCTCTTCGCGTTTGTTCCTCATGAGACTTGATCTCTGATCAGGGTAGTCACACACAGTGTGCCCCCTATCCCATAATGAATACTAAGACAGCCTTTGTACAAAGTTAATATGCTTTATTATATGAATAAATACATTTTATACCAAGAGCCTTGGTAGTACAATGGTCTAAAGCACCCTGTTATTAAGACCAGCTGCCTGCAATTACTGCAAGTTCAAATCTCGCCAGGCTCAAGGTTGACTCAGCCTTCCATCCTTTCTAAGGTAGGTAAATTGAGGACCCAGTTTGTGGGGGGCAATAAGCTGACTTTGTATAAATATACAAAAAAGGATGAAGGCTATTGCTTAACGCATT